CTCCGCAGGGAGCCTGCTTCCTCTTCTCTCTCTCTCTGCCTGCCTCTCTGCCTACTTGTGAACTCTGTCTGTCAAATAAATAAAATCTTTAAAAAAAAAATACATAAGTGAAGAGGATTAAGAGTACTCTTATTGTAGTGAGCACTGAGTAATGTACATAATTGTTTAATAACTATATCATATATCTGAAACTAATATAACACTGTACATTAATTATACAGGAATTAAAATAAATAAATAAAATTTTTAAAAATAAGTATATAAATAAAATGAACAAAACATAGGGGTAAAAGCCAGGATTAAGAGTACACCAATGTTTCTAAATGTAGTTCCAAACATAACTGAGCTGGAGTCTTCAGTGTCTCACTGTAAAAAAACTCAGCATACTTTGAATTTACATTTTTTTGTTGAAATACAATAAATGAAACAATAAACTGTTGTATATAAGAAGATAAAATAGGACACTGCAAACATCAAATACTCTCAATATTACTGAGTTTTACTATAAGCTTCCAGAAAGGACTTCAATAAAACAGTTGAAAGAACACAAGAAATTACAGGAACAAGACCCTAGACAGGAGGAGCACTGCCAGGACAGGGAGGAAATTGCTCACTCATTCCACAGCAAAATTCTAAACTAAAATACTTCAATTTGCTTGACTTTGAAAAATAAAGTAGGAAAGAACAATAAAGCATGAGGAAGGAGGTAGTTTCCAATTTTAGATACGGGACCAAAGGAAGGATTCTTGAGAAGGTAACACCTGAGTAAATGCCCAGAGAAGATAAGAAAATTGCACACCATGCAGACATGGGGAGGCATGGTATAGAGCACCCCAGCACAGGCAGTGGTAAGAATCCAGGCCCCAGGGGGAAAGTGGTGTGGAATCTGAGGACCAGAGTGGAGTCTCGGGTGGCCACGATAGAGCTGGGGAAGGAAAGGGGTGGGAGATAAGGCCGCAGAGCTCAGGAGGGGTTTGTGTATGAGGTGAGCAGACACTAGGGCATGTGGAGCCAAAAAGTGGCATGACAACTTACACATTCATAGCTTTAGTCATCTTGAAAGAGACAGGAGAGCATGGAAAGAAGCAAGGAGTTGATTTAATGAACTGTTGCAATAATCCAGAGGGCAGACAATGATTACCTGGAAATGTTCTGACAGTAGAGGTGGCAAGAAGTGCTGGACTCTGTGTGCATTTGGAAGTGGAGCTACCAGAATGTTCCCAAAGGCAGAAGGGAGATTATGAGAAAAAGAGGAGTTGAGGATATGTGGGGAAGCAGAGGGAGGGTCAGGAGCTTGACTCTGCCATGCCTTCAGCACCCAAGTGGAATCATGCCTCAGGCAGTAAGGAGTGCTGCTCTGGTGATGGAGCAGAGGGTGGGTCGCAGATAGTTCTGGGAGGGATCAGTGTGCCCCTGGCATTTAAAGTTACAAGATGAAATGAAAGCACCAAGGGGGTTAGGTGGACAAGATAGAAAAGAGGTCTAGTACTGAGCCTAGCAGAGCACTATCTTAGTGAGAAGCCAGAGAAAGGCATGAGGAGCACAGGGCAGGCAGGGAAACAAAGCAGGAGAGAGCACTGCACTGCAAAGAGACATGATGGCCACACAAGTGACCATAGGAGAAGCAGCCTGGAGCTCACTGACGATGCCAGGGGTGAGGTATGGGAAATGCTGGGATGGAAGCCTGAACAAACAGGCTCAGTAGAGAATGGGGTCAATATAGCCATGGTGGAAAGAGGAAGTACAGTCAAGATGAATTAAAAAAAAAACAAACAAACATTTTTAATGAACTATTAGGACTTCATCAAGATTAAAAGCTTTTACACAGCGAAAGAAACAGTCAACAAAACCAAAGACAACTGACATAATGGGAGAAGATATTTGCAAATGACCTATCGGATAAAGGGCTAGTATCCAAAATCTATAAAGAACTTGTCAAACTCAATACCCAAAGAACAAATAATCCAATCAAGAAATAGGCAGAGGACATGAATAGACATTTAGGCAAAGACATCCAAATGGCCAACAGACACATGAAAAATGCTCCACATCACTTGCCCTCAGGAAAAGACAAATCAATACCACAATGAGATACCACCTTATACCAGTCAGAATAGCTAAAATTAACAAGTCAGGAAACGAAAGATATTGGCAAGGATGCAGAGAAAGGGGAACTCTCCTACACTGTTGTTGGGAATGCAAGCTGGTGCAGCCACTCTGGAAAACAGTATGGAGGTTCCTCGAAAAGTTGAAAATAGAGCTACACTACAACCCAGCAATCGCACTACTGGGCATTTACCCTAAAGATACAAATGTAGTGATCCAAAGGGGCATGTGCACCCGAATCTTTCTAGTAGCAATGTCCACAACAGCCAAACTATGGAAAGTGCCTAGATGTCCATCAACAGACGAATGGATAAAGAAGACGTGGTATATATACACAATGGAATACTACGCAGCCATCAAAACCCTGAAATCTTGTCATTTGCAATGACGTGGATAGAACTAGAGGATAGTATGCTGAGCGAAATAAGTCGATCAGAGAAAGACAATTATCATATGATCTCTCTGATATGAGGAATTATAAGGAATTTGAGAGGCAGGGCAGGGGGTCATGGGGGGTAAGGAGGGAAAAAAATGAAGCAAGATAGGATCAGGAGGGAGGAAAACTATAAGAGACTCTTAATCTCACTAAACAAACTGAAGGTTGTTGGGCGGTGGGCGGGAGGGACAGGGTGGCTGGGTTATGGACATTGGGGAGGGTATGTGCTATGGTGAATGCTGTGAAATGTGTAAGTCTGATGATTCACAGACCTGTATTCCTGGGGCAAATAATACATTACATGTTAATAAAAAGATTTTTTTAACATGGTAGAAAAATAATAGCATGATATTAGGATGATGAGAAATTTCAGAGAGAGAAATTAATGGCATTGTATTCTTTTTTTTTTTTTTAAAGATTTTATTTGAGAGACAGAGAGCACAAGCACAAGCAGAGGGGAGGGGGCAGAGGGAGAAACACTCTCCTCACTGATCAGGGAGCTTGTAGGTCTTGATCCCAGGACCCTGGGATATGACCTGAGCTGAAGGCAGACACTGAACTGACCGAGGCACCCAGGTGCCCCACTGGTATTGAATTCTTGAGTGAGCTATGCAGAAAGACAGTTGGTCATTACAAAATTATTCATAATATCCTCAAACTAAAGACACTTAACTATAAACAGAAGAACAGATGCATTAATTGCATAAATTAACACAACGGTATACTATAAAGCAATAAAAATGAACAAACTGCTAAATGTAAAAATACTGATGAATCTCCCAAGCATAATATTAAGTGAAAGTAGTCAGGTGAAAAAGAATGCATATTGTATGATTTCTGCATGGTTCTATTTATATGAAATTCTCAAATAGTCCAAGGAATCTTTTATATCGTAAGTCAGGATGATAGTCACCTTGTGTGGGAGGGAGAGGAGGAAATGAGAGGGGATTGGGGTGTCCCAGGTATGCAATGCATTCTATTTCTTGGATGGATAAAAATTACATAGTTGGGGCACCTGGGTGGTTCAGTTAGTTGTGTGGTGGCCTTTCACTTAGGTCATGATCCCAGGGTCCTGGGATCAAGACCCACAACAGGCTCTTGCTCAGTGGGGAGTCTGCCTCTCTCCCTCCCTCTTCTCCTGCCCCTGCTCAGTGCTGTATCTCTCTCTCTCTCAAATAAATAAATAAAATCTTAAAAAAAAGAAAGAAATTACCTAGTCACTTTGTGATTATTTGTAGAAATGTGTACTTAGAATTTGTGTATGATCCTGTATGTATCTTAAACTATTCAAAAAGATGTATTAAAAAACAAAACAAAACAAAATGCAAGTTACCCTATGACATCTGCAGCCTGTTAGGGTAAGAGTTTAAGTAAAGACTGAGGATCACTCACTATGGACACAGTGAAAAAAAGATCCCTGTGGGAGGTATGTTTAACTTTTTCTTTCTTTCTTTTTTTTTTTTTTAATTTTATGTATTTATTTGACAGAGAGAGACATAGCAAGAGAGGGAACACAAGCCGGGGGAGTGGGAAAGGGAGAAGCAGTCTTCCCGCTGAGCAGGCAACCCCATGCAGGGCTCAATCCCAGGACCCCAGGATCATGACCTGAGCTGAAGGTAGCTGCTTAAAGAAACTGAGCCACCCAGGCGCTCCTGGGATGTTTAACTTTAAAGACCTATAAGTCAACTTCAAACCTAAGAATATAACAGATGAATGAGACTTCTAAAAATCTGCCAGTAAAATCAAGAGTCAGCTCTTAAAACAAGGCTGCTCAAGTGTTCCCTCAAAAATAGTAATTTTTCGGGGTGCCTGGGTGGCTCAGTGGGTTAAGCCTCTGCCTTCGGCTCAGGTCATGATCCCAGGGTCCTGGGATCGAGCCCCGCATCGGGCTCACTGCTTGGCAGGGAGCCTGCTTCCCCCTCTCTCTCTCTCTGCCTGCCTCTCTGCCTACTTGTGATCTCTCTCTGTCAAATAAATAAATAAAATCTTTAAAAAAAATAGTAATATTTTCTTCTTTTTGTAGTAAAAAATAATACCCTATAGGGAAGAAAGCAAACATGTATATATGTTTTTCATCCTTCCCACAGTGATTAGTAAAGAAATATTAAATTACTGCATATTATCATATTGTCACAGAATGCCTCTTACTAAAATTGTATTTCTAAGAAAGACAAAAACAAAAACAGCCAGATTTATAAGACACCACTTTGACAGAAATCTTGATATGGTTGTTTCTTCCTCACCCCTCTGCCCTCAAATTATCAAAAATTTCCTGCCAAAAGTTCAAACAAGGATTCAAATACAATTCAGCGCTTCTGTTACATAAAATCTGTGTCAAATACTGGCTTCCTTATCCTGGCATTTCTCCATTATAAGGTGACAAAAATGTTCATCATAAAAAAATCTTTTAAGACAAACTCATAGTTAGTGACTGCTGGAATCAGTTCTTTGTACTCACCAGGGAGGGTAGATATGGACGATGTCTTGGGGATGTCCCTTGAGGTGGCGAGCAGTCTCCTTTGTGAACAGAACCTTCAGGCCAGTCCTGGGGACCTCACCTTGAGAAGGGCTGTTGGCCTGCAGCCCTGCTAAATGCTCACACATAGCAACTTGGATGGTGCATTCCTCATGCAGCTCTAGAATTTTCACAATTAATACACCAGATTTTCTACCTAGAAGGTGAAGGGGGGAAAAAAAAGCAAAATAGAGTAAAATAGACATATGGTCCAACTGTTAATAAAATGTCATGAAAAAAAAGAACCACATTAAGATCGCTTTATTCACCTCAAGAAAATGGTTTGTATACTTTGCAATGTATAGACTCTAATGTATTGTGACATCTTTTTAATCAAAATAACATACATGTTGCATTTTAAGCAACATACAAAATAGTTTTCCATCATAAAGAAACAGTCTTGCATACACAGAAGACCCATCATTTCACAGAGCATGTTTTTACACCAAAATTTTAACTCTTTTGATAACCACAACAAAGAAAGTAACATCACTTATTGGTCCTTCTTCTTTCTTATATGCTCCTACTACCTCATTAACTGCTTTGATTCTCTACTTTGGAAATGATATAAATGGTTGCAAATGTTCTAATGATCACAAAGATTAAAGGTAAGGATTTCTGGGGCGCCTGGGTGGCTCAGTGGGTTAAAGCCTCTGCCTTCGGCTCAGGTCATGATCCCAGGGTCCTGGGATCGAGCCCCACATCGGGTTTTCTGCTCGGCAGGGAGCCTGCTTCCTCCTCTCTCTCTGCCTGCCTCTCTGCCTACTTGTGATCTCTGTCTGTCAAATAAATAAATTAAAAAAAAAAAAAAGGTTAAGGATTTCTGAGGAATGCTGAATGTTAGGGCTCAATATTTATTAAGATGGAATTTAATCTGAATTTAAGTACTGGCTCTCTGATTAATTAAGTTCGGTCAAGATAGATAGCATTTCAACACTATTTTCTCATGTGTAAAATGGGGATCATGCCACCTGCCTCAAAGAACATTTTTAAGAATTAAATGAGAGAACTAAAGTTGACAGTGTGTATAACCTAAAACCCATATATGTCCCAGAAATTATCACAACACCAGGAGACTTAAATAAGGATGCATACCTCAGTACTATTTCACCCTAAGAGCAGAAAACTGGAGCTAGCACAAATCAGTAGGAGGAAAGGTAAGCCATGCTATGTGCATACAACAGAACACATGTAGAGCCAATAGTGGACCAGGTCTATATGTATCAGCATGTACAGATCTCAAAAACAAGAGGGGATGAACAAGATATGTAGAGTATGATACCTATAATGTTATTTTTTTAAGCACAGAAAACAATAAAGTACTGTTGCAGATATATATGTAACATAAGTATATAATATGACTAGCAGGATACATAGAAAAACATACTTAAGGAGAAAGAGAGGAGCATGACTCAGGATTTCACACTTATTTGTCATATTGTTTCTATTATAAAAATATGTGGATCAAACAAAGACAAAAGATTAAAATGTTATTAATTCTAGGTGGTAAGTATACTTGCGTATTTCTATTACTTTTTTAATTTAAAAAAATAAATGAAATAAAATAACAAAAGGTAAGTGTCTAGCATAGTATCCTGCTAATAATAATAGACACTGATAGTTTTCTTTACCCCTTTAGCCAACTTAATAGTGAATAATAAAAATTAATATTTAAATAGCACCAATGTTTTCATTATATAATTTAATTTTATTTCCATTTCTTTCTCCCCTTCTTCATTTTCCCCTCACTCTTAACTTTCCATTCCTTCCTTTCTCTAAGTGCCAATAGCATGTGTTCACATAGTAAGCAAGGCCACACCGAGCACTATCTTGAACTACTGTTCCTAAGGTATGTACCTATCTTGCTACTATTTCTTAAGGTAAGGAAGGAAACAGAATGGGGGAAGGATATGAACAAGCACAATGTCAGGCTGGCAGTACTAGTCACTATGGGGGAGGGAAGAAGAGGAATGAAAACAAGTATTATAGAAAGGCACTAACTAGGAAGTAATCATTGAGTCTCCTCTGCCACAATATTTGTTACTTTAATAAAAAGTGGCTCACCTCAGTTGGTGAGGTGAATAGGAAAATAGGAGTCAGGATAACATAAAGGTCACTCTGGTACATACACACCATTTTTCTCATGTAGGGCAGCCAGAGCAATGGGTGGAGAATTAGGATCTTTGGCAGCAAAGGGAAATGCCCTAGGTTTCAGGGCTATGTTAACTATAGGAGAATTTGTGGACATATTTTATGAATTTTTAAAACTTGAACCTACAGTCAGGGCCTATCCCTAAAACTATGCAGTAGGCATGGAACCTCTCCCATCAACCAGTGACAGCAGCTGCTGTTCAGAGTTCCAGGGCCCATGAAATCAGGTGGTATGGCAAAGCACACTCTCTTGGGTCTGTGTGGCTGAGTGTCTGCCTTGGCAGCCTCTACCCATACTCAGTAGTCTGCCTGAGCTGCACAAGTTCTCTCCTTGGGTACTAATTATTGTTTTGTGCAGCTCTGACTAAAAGTGAAATAGGTTTTAGTGGTCTGTCCAACCCTACAGTTTCCATAGAACTTTGACAGATTGTATGAAGGCAAGACATTGCAGAAACACATAGTTATTATAGCAGAAATACCTATATATCTAAGATGAATCATATTGCTACTAACTATACTCTGTTTGAAGATTTTTATGATAAATCCTGGCAATATTCCTAAAACTATGGTTTCTGCTGAAGATACATAGCACTAAATAACTTACAAAATAAACATGCTTCATGGTATTATCTATCACTACGGCCCAGGTGCTTCAGCACAGAATAAACATAATTATTTTTGAAGATTTTTTTTATTTATTTGAGAGAGAGAGAGACAGAGCATGAGCAGTGGGGACACAGAGGGAGAGGGAGAAGCAGACTCCTGCCAAACAAGGAGTTCCATGTAGGGCTCGACCCCAGGACGCTGAGACCATGACCTGAGCCCAAGGCAGATGCTTAACCAACTGAACCACCCAGACATCCCCAGGATAAACATACTTAATGGTACTACCATCACAGCCCTGGTATACTGTGGCATAGAATAAGCACACTGTATGGTATTTTAATAAGCACACTCTGTAGTATTACTATCACCACAGCCATGATGCACTGCAGTATAGGAAAACATGCTTTATGGTAGTATCACTAGAACCCTGGTGTACTGCAGTGTAGAATAAACACCCCATATGGTATTGATTATCACCCTTGTATACTGCCGCATGGAATAAACACACTGTGCAGTACTGACTATCACTAAAGTCCTGGCGCACTGCAGCGTGCCTGGTGACTTAAGTAGTCTTGGTAAACCAGAATGCTGAGCAGTGCCATCTAGGCTCTACCACAGGGCTAGAACACCACAATGTTCTCTACAAAGCACTCTAAAGTCTCTCATAGAGAACATCCGTCCAACACAGCCTTGGGAGAAACCAGTGGCCTGCCTTCCCTAAAGAAATTAAGGCAGTGTAATTTCCACTTTCTGTGAGGGATAAAAAAGTAAAAAGCAACCTAAGACAACTGTATATCTGAAGCAAGCTTTCAATCTGGGCATAAGAGATACTGCTTTTACAAATGAAGATTAATTAAATGGGTGGTATGAAAAGGCATTTCTGTGCCAGCGAGACAACATTTTGCATAAATGCTGTAAGACTCAGTCAAAATATCACTTTGACCAGGAAGGGATTACTGAATCCCAGCCAGAAGCAACTATTCCTTCCCTTTTGAAATCCTCAAATACCTTAACTATGCTTATCTTCTTTTTAACAGTGTCCTCATTTTTAAATGGAGACAGTATTAGCCATTCTCAAGAACACTGCAAATATCAGGAGATATAATAAAGAAAGCTCATAATGCAGGGCATGGTCCATCACACATGTAATAGTAGCAGCCACTGTCACCATGGTCACTGTCAATGTTAACTTCTCAAGGCATTTTTAAATCTATTATCATACTTGACCTACAATAACCCTATGAAATAGATAAAGAAGATATTAATCTCCCATTTTGACAGATAAGAAAACTAAAAAAATCACTTGCTCACATGACTTTCTTAAGATCAGAGAGAATTACTGGCAGGTCTAATCCTAGAAGTTGAGTGTCCTTACAAGTCATGAACCAAAATGTCTCTCAGGTAAATGCTGGTCAAAAACAGGAAATTGTAACTGATGCTTTTTTCCTATTCTATCATGTTAAAACATAAGACTTGTTTAAAATGTAAAGAAAGCATATCCAGTTGAGAAATGGAGGATCTCGCTGGACATGATCAGAGTGTTAACACTGATCATTGCACTATAAAAGAAAAGGATACTTTTGTCACAGTACTAAATATTGAAGAGTTAAGTGTCACTACAATTAAATGTATAAATAGTAATATATAACACCAAAGACTTTAAATGATTAAGAAAGAGGAATAAAAGGATTCATATAGAAAGTATACCACGGGATCTAGTAAGTTCTATCCATATATATGAATAGCAGATAAAACAGTTCTTAGTTAAAAATGGAAAATATTAACTTAAAGGCTAACATTTGCCAAATGAATGTGTGAATGCTTTATCAGCTAACTGCTCTTAAAAAAATCTGGTCTTAAATGGCTAAGAGGCCACAAGAAATTAAGAAACGATATAAGAACAAAATGTATCTGAGACTCCTGGGTTAAATGACTTTTTTGAAATATATAGGTATTTACTTGAAATATATGGAGCCTGGGCCCATTTACATACAAAGTCAACTTCTAAGTAGGTTATGTTAATGAATTAATATGTATTATAATGATAACTTTCATGAACATTTATATAAGAAATACTATACAAGAAATTAATGAAAATTATACAAGAAAGTACCAAGTGGAACTAGTTAGTATGTGGGGATATAGAGATGTTGAGACATTGAAATGATCCTCCTTTAGAGGACAGAAACATCTCTAAGTTTTTCTAAGAGAACTACTTTTCATAATATATTTGTTGCACTCTAAGTTACTATATTTAATTAAAGAAACATTGGCTACATAGTAATATGGAATTTTGCCTTTTATTATTATTCTCTATCTTCATAGATATCCCATTCGACTAATCTATACAGCATCTTGCATTAGAGTATATGGCCTACTGTTTTCTGAAACTTGTGCTTT